GAGAGAGAGAGAGAGAGAGAGAGAGAGAGAGAGAGAACGAGTGGGGGAGGGGCAGAGAGAGAGGGAGACACAAATCTGAAGCAGACTTCAGGCTCCGAGCTGTCAGCACAGAGCCTTGATGTGGGGCACGAACCCATGACCATGAGATCATGACCTGAGCCAAAGTCAGACACCCAACTGACTGAGCCACCCAGGCACCCCATTCTAGTCTTTACCTTAAGATGTGTGCCAGAGAGATAACCAAATAACCAGGGCCATTTTTAAGTTTGTTATTTCGAAGAGTTACTGTTCTGCTCTGTTGCATTGTGAATATGTTTCATCCTCAGATTCATGGAAAGGACTCTGACAAATACTGTAGTATATTGTTTCTCATAATTTTAAGATCATACCATTTAATTGGGTAAGGATTTGCAGAACTCTGATGGAGATACATCATTTCCTAAAACTGCAAACATAAGATCCTGATCAATAAGCATTAATTTTATGGGACTGAATGGACTAATGAGGATGACTATAATTTTTATAACTTTTTGTTTGAAACATTACTGTTTTTTAATGTTATGTTTTTCCACTTTTAAGGAAACTTTATAACAAACTGGTAAAGTATACTTTTGTAAGCAAAGACAAAACCTTAACCTTTTCTCCCTACCTGATCTCTCTGGAACTCAGAAACTTCTTAGTATTCTTATTTTCATGGCAGTACAGTTATTTGCATAAGTTCAATAAGAATCGGTTCTCCTTGTAACGAGACACATTTGGATACATTGGTTATGTTGCCAAAGTTTTGGCTGGAATGTCATATTTGAGAATGTGCATAGAATCGCATTATGACCAGACAGCTTTAAGGAACTAAAGCGGACTTCATGAAGCCATTAAATCCCCTTGGAAAAACAGCCTGGTACCTTGCTTTCAGGATTCCCAGCAGCCTTACCAGCTAAACAAGGTCACTTCCTAGCAGGCTCAGAAACCTTGGGATATTTTGGAGACCTCAAGAAAAGAGGAATTTATCCACGTCTATAGGTATAGCAGGCAAAGTCTTATAGCAGGAACTTTGCTTGGCTTCCTAGCCTCAAGAGTCTTTTGAAAGTTGAATCAGAGTCATGCCTGGCTGGCTCAGTCAAAGGAACATGAACTCTTGATCTTGGGGTCATGAGTTCAAGCCTCATATTGGGTGTTAAGATTACTAAAAAAAAGAAAAGAAAATTAACTTTTTAAATCATAAAAAATAAAAGGTCAATCTGAGATTCCTTATGAAAAGTTCCAGCAGATTTAAAAGAGCCTGTATGGTCAATATCTATTCTTGCTGCACTTATGTAAATAATCAGCCACGTTTACTAGACTTCATTTGCAAATGAATTTGTCTCATTGTGGTTATATTTGATAAAATGAGGGTGACTGTAGAAAGAAAAATTGTTTCCATAATACACTTTTATGGATATCAGATCCTGTTTCTGTTAATTGCCTTTGAGGTCCTGTTTTATACCTGTAAACTGGACTAGATGCTGAATTCTTCTAGTTCCCCCCAATATTTGGCCATAATTCTCCAAACTGGCATTTCTAAGTTTTTTTCCCACCTTTCTGACTTGGAATTATTGAAAACTGAAATATCCCTTTTCCTGAAGCTGTGCAAGCAAAAGCCGGATAGCTTGATATAAACTTTATAGAAATTACCACAGCAGCTCCTGCATGGACGGTCTTCATACCTAATGCTGTATGGCCACTCAGAAAACTCACCAGAGACATTCACACTGCAAACGAGGAAAATCTGTCAGATTGCCACTGCCTGCACTTGTTCAGTCTGAAGGTGTTTTGAGCCAGACATCTAGAAATCTTGACTGGCTTTCTTCACAACTTAGAGATTTAGATTATAGTCTGTCCCAGCCATTAACTTTTGCTTCCATAGAAATAACCTTAGTAAATTCCGGATTGTACAATGTAAGCCTAACTTTGGGAGCACACCTGTATTACTACCTCCTAAAATGAGACACAACTCTTTTCATTGAACTGACCAGTTCTCAGGGCTAAGAGACTGGTTCAGTGAGATGGAGCAATCTATCAACTCAGCTTCTAGAATGCTAAACTTCTTGGGAAGTTTCAAAGGCTGGACTGAAAGGGAGAAAAATATGCCACCCGAGAATGTGTCACTTTGGCAGGTGGATTATTTTGCACTAAAGATAATCAAGTATCCAAAGACTTGAGGGGCGCGTAGGTGGCTCAGTTTGTTAATTATCTGGCTCTTGATTTCAGCTCAGGTCATGATCTTGCATTCATGGGTTCGAGCCCTGCATAGGACTTCACATTGACAGTATGGAACCTGTTTGAGGTTCTCTCTCTTCCCCCCTCTTCCTGCCCCTCCCACACGTGTGCTCTCTCTCAAAATGGATAAAGGGTTTGGTCCTGAAAGAGAAATATCAGCAGAGGTAACTATAAAGAGTGTAAGCTAGGAGTGGTGAGCTAGGGCAAGTTTAGCAAAGCCTATTTGTTCAGATTCCTCTCTGTGTCCCATTGTCTCTGTATAGCATGTCAAATATTTGTTTACCAAACATTTGCTTTTCCCATCTTCTGTAAATTGTCTTCCTTCCCTGTGACCCCTACCTCCATTCTCCTTAACTAGGATGGCATGTAAACCTTAATTACCTGTCTTTGAACCTCTCATGTATATGAGGCTCCCATATGAAAGGAATTAAATTTGTTTTCCCTATGTTAATCTTTCTTATGTCAATTTAATTAATAGACCTGCCAAAAGAACCTAGAAGGGTAAAGAAAAAAAGTTTTCTCCCCTACAGGAGTGAATCTGCCATATTGTATAATATCACAACTTTTTTGTCCTGTTTTAATTTTAGCTCTTTTAGCATCGTGTCGATTGGTCTTGTTTATTCTTTATATTCCATTCTGTTACTTATACAGAAAGTATCAATGGAGAATTCATAGCATCGAATAGATTATTTTGTGTGGCAAATAGTCCTTTATTACTTTCAGTTCTTGTGTATATTTATGCATTTCCATGTTATTGGAAAACTTGAGGTTTTTGGTAGAAAAGATTTGAGGCTCTTGGTGTTTCATTTTGGTTTTGTCATTTAAAATTGGGGCGCCTGGGTGGCACAGTCGGTTAAGCGTCCGACTTCAGCCAGGTCACGATCTCGCGGTCCGGGAGTTCGAGCCCCGCGTCGGGCTCTGGGCTGATGGCTCAGAGCCTGGAGCCTGTTTCCGATTCTGTGTCTCCCTCTCTCTCTGCCCCTCCCCCGTTCATGCTCTGTCTCTCTCTGTCCCAAAAATAAATAAACGTTGAAAAAAAAAATTTAAAATTATAGCCCCCTCCCCTACTTCCTATATAGTAGATGGGTACAGACTTCTAAGGATGTCCTCATACATTCTCTTGTCTTACATTTTCCTTTCCTTTACATTTACTCCTCCTCCGCAGTGATAGGATTCATGGATGTTGTCAGGGGAAAGGGCCTAATTTCTTTCTTCCTGTCATCTCAAATTAAATAATATATGTGTCCATTAAAAAACCAAGTACTGGTTCGCCAAAGACAACCCTATTGTGTGAAGATATCTTTACATTAGTTGGAAAATATAGTGATAAAATCCTATACCTATCTATTCATATATCATCTCTCTGTTCATGTGTGTGTGTATCTAATTTCAAAACTTTTATTTAAAATAATAAAAATTAATGATTGTTTCAAATGTGAGAACATGCACCATAAAAAAAAAAATTTCTAATTTCTTGAAAGACAAGTATCATCTTAGGAGTATCGTCTGTTTTTTGTGCTTTAAAATCATATGGATGAATCTTACTGGTGTAGGAGTCATCATTTCAATGAATGACACCCATGCGGAAATACTCTGTAGAAAGAAGTTTTATAGGGTGTAGCAATAACTATTTTTATTTCTCTTGCTTTGTACAGACTTTTCTTCACAGGAATTAGAGATTTTCATTTGTTCCTTTTCCTCCTCCTGGCTTCAAATGTTTGTTGCAGAGGCAGTCTTTAAAAAGTTGTGTTCACAGAGTTCCATCAGCATTTCTTCTGAGCCACTCTCTCTCCAAAAAATGGTAAACACCAGTCTGTTCTAGTTCTTCTAATTGCCAAAAGATGACTTCATAAATTCAACTTTAAAATGTTTTTGTTATTTCTAATAATTGGGCAGAGCTTATTAACTCTAAATCTTACAAATTTATATAAATCTATATAACCTTTCAATTCTCTGTAAGAGTGGGTATTTTCTACCTTGAAAATGAAGTGATTAGTGAATAGAAATTTTAATTACATATTTGAGAGTAATTAAGGATTGATAACAGAAAAATAATACAAAAATCTTTGTTTCCTTGCCATAGCACATAAAATAATAATTTCGGAAAGATGTAGATCCAAAAAAATTTTATGTAGTATTTAATGATACTTAAAAAGCAAAATGTGTCATTGATGCCACAAGTTATTCCTCTTTATCATATATATATATATACATACATACATACACACACACACACACACACACACACACACACACACATACACACACACACATAAGCTGCGTTTGATTCAAGGTTTTCCAGTTTTATCTTGTCTGTCTTTAAGATCTACTGTCTTCGGTTTCTTCAACAAATGAGAAACATGCTTGTTTATTGATCAAATTGGGCAAATACTGTTTTGCAGCAATCCTTGTCTTCACTGACTTTTGCTCTTCTTATTCTACTTATTCCAGACTTGTTTCATGTCGAAGGAAGGCATTACCAAAGTGGAAATGACAAAATACTGGTTGTACATAAACCATAAATATTTAAAATATGCAAATGAACTATAACAAGTTGAACATTAGGCTAATCAGAAGAACTTTGCTAAATGAGCATCAAAAGTGAATTTGAAAAAATAGTTATTTTCAAGAAGATGTTTTTCTTTTTACGTATGTCATATTAATGACATGGAACTAGCGGCTTTCTTAATATCTTGGCATGTTCAAATGAGAAAGGGTAGCAACCATAGTGATTAAAACAAGAAAATATAAACTAATGGTAAAATGAATCAGATAATTTCTTTTTAATGCTTTTCCAGGTCTTTGTAGTTGAGAAAGCATTATAATATTATTTTGCAACAGGTATATTCCTATTTGCCAGCTTTGGGGAAGGCTGGTGTGCATGGAGCTGGAAAGATACAGATATCAAAGAAAATAGGACAGCGGCCTTGCCTTGAATCTCAGAGAGCCTTGTTAATGCTGAATGGTGCGAAACAGAAACAAGTGGAAGGGCTGCCAGAATTACCGTAAGTGATGGTCATGTATCAACCTTTTCAACCTTTTTTTTTTTTTTTTTTTAAGTACAGCCCTTTTTTGGACACATTAAGTCTTAAACTTAATATTTACCTGTGATGTTGTCTGAATTATACTGAGTAGCACAAAACTCAGTTTGAGATGTATAAATAAATACATATGATCAACATTATTACTTTCTTTCATGCAGGGTATATGTTTTATATTAAGAGCAAGTGCTTCCCAAAAGAAATAAAACTGTTTTTCAAATTCTTTTACACCATTTTTGCCTGTGATTTAAATTACTACTTGTATATATAATATGATAAAGATAGGATTTCAGAATCTATAGTCATGTAGGATACTCTGAATTGTTAACAGTAGCTTTCCCCCAGTGAGATACCTCTTCTAAAAGTTTACTGTATAAAATTCAGAAAACCTTAAAATGTTTTTAGAAAGAATAGGATCAGAATATGAAAATAAGAATGGGGAACAAGGGCCTGCATTTGGATCTTAGCGCTTGGCTTTTTTTCTCTCTGCCAAATGTAGTTTACTTGGTCTCTTCCTCTACGTGACAGTCCACATTCATAAATTTTTCAGTGGGCAGTTGGGGGTACCATGTTATTAAAATAAGAATTAATGCATGAAAACTTATTTCTGTACATGTGAAATAAATATTGAAAAAAATAAGCAGTAAAGACGTGAATGAATAAGGGTGGGGGGGTTAAATGAACAGGGGGCTGGATTTTTGAAAGTACTCAGTATGTAATGTACTCTGCCATACCTTGGTGAAAAACCAGCTTTCATTTTTTTTTTTCTTTATTTTCAGAGAGCTGAACCTTGCTAAATGTTCCTCATCGTTAAAAAGATTGAAAAAGAAGTCAGAAGGAGAATTATCATGTTCCAAGGAGAATTGCCCCTCTTTAGTTACAAAGATGAATTTTCACAAAACTAATCTAAAAGGTATTCCAAGTATCTAATTTATGCTAGGAACTTCTCATGGTTGTAGTCAGTATTTGCAAGTTTTACACACTGGCCCTGATGAATACTTGAACTTGACTAGGTCCAGAAAATACCTTCTTAGCATATTATTTTTTTGAACCGTCATTTATGCAAAGAAAGTGATTGTTTAATACTCAGTATAATAGAATATTCCTCCCTTTCTTTTTTCCCCCTGCCTCTCCAGATATTAACTCATATTGAGCTCATTCCAAGTTTGCCCGCCTTACTTTTCTATTCCACCTCAACCTGTGCAGCTTGGGATTAGACTCTTTTGATTTGAAAGTATAATTCAGTCTTCATCTCTCTCAGTCCTAGACATTTTGTGAACAAAGAATGGGGAGTAGTCTATGTTACATAGCTGTGTTAAGCATATGGACTCTTTTCTCCCAGGCATTGAGCCCAGACTATGAAATGTGTTTGGCTTTTGGTTCTGACTATACTGGAACCTAAGTACCTAAAGGATGGAGTTACAAGAACAGTGCTGTAATAATTCACTTCGGCACCTCTTTCACTTAGTGACCTCTTAACTAAAATATAAGACTCTTCCAAGAGTCTGTACCTGGCCAAAGAAAATTGCGCAGTCTCTTGATACAGAGCTGTATTGTGCTTTTAATACACAAATTTTCATTAGGACACCAATGTGAACAGTAACAGTGAAGCTCTTTTAATCCTTCAACATGAATAAAAGTTCATAATTGCATTTCATGTATTTAAAATAGCTGCCCATTTAGCTCAAAATGTGAAAAATGTATTAAAGGAGAACTCCAATATTAACTGCACAAACAGTGTCCTTTTTCTTTGTTTATTGTGTCAGAAAGTAAAATGAATATGAATGACTTTAAGCTGAACAGCAGAGGGAACTGGGAGGGAGGAAGAGAACTGAGAAATAATAGAGGAAAAAAAACTTCAAAAGCTTTTCAGTGCATGTAAAAGAGATGTTTTGGTAGAAGTTACAGAGATAATCTATAAAATTGAATACTAAAAATATGCTATTTAGTATCTTATATCAAGAAAGAGTTTGATTATTTCATTTGTTTTCTAGACAGTCGCTTATTATAAGTTGTTTTAATTCCAGTTACATCAAATTATCACTACGTCTTATTAGTCTTGGTTACAACAGAGATGGATATGGACACTTTTAGCCAGCAGGCATTAATTGCATCCCTCCTAGAAAAAACTTTACCATTTCATTTGTCACTCTGTTTCAGCTTTAAATGGTACTAGGATTTTTTTTTTCGTGTGTGTGTGTGTGTGTGTGTGTGTGTGTGTGTTTATATTAAGATTCCCCCATTTCTCCTTCTCTGTGCTGCTGTAGCCAAGCCAGACAGCCTATTGAGAAGCAGCAAACCATCTGTTAATGGATTTGAAGTTCTGAATTATACTTGAGTGTGTAGAGGCACTCGTGCTTAGCCAGAAACATTCATTTGAATTAAGCTATAAATGCTGTATAAAAAAGAGCCATACATTTAACGTAGGTTCATGAATAAATTTAAGAGAGGGCAATTGCACTCTAAACTTTTATTGCTGCAAAACCCAGTATTTTTGGTGTTCTCTGATCATTTGGAGCTTTTATAGCGGGATTGAAGCTTTAAACCTTGAACTAGGGGGAGACAATGCCTGTATTAAACCTTTTGCAGTAGAATTTCATTGCTGAATTGCTGATAGAACAGAAGCTCTATGGATTGGTGGGTATCCCTCCCCCTTCTTTTTCTTAATGCGAGAAATGTTTAAACCAGTCAAAAGGAAAACTCAATAAATAATTTTCTGGCATGTGGCCAGATCTCCTAGTTCATGCCCTTTGATTATTTTCTTTAGTTTATATCTTGTCTTCTCTGGAATAATCTATTAATTTTTTATGGCAGGAGAAACAGCCCTCCATAGAGCTTGCATAAATAACCAAGTGGAGAAATTGATTCTTCTTCTCTCTTTGCCAGGAATAGACATCAATGTTAAAGGTAAGTTTTCCATTTTTGTGGTCTGATCCAGTGTCTTAATATTTGTGGTATTAAATGGTTTTATGTCAACATTAAGAAAAATCATTTAAGTTTCTTTACCTAACATATCTTTAAAATATTACCAGTTACAAAACCAAGAAATTAGTGATTAATAGTGCAGAAACATTTTTTGTCCATATTTTGATAAGATCTCAAAATCCATATTTTAAAACTGTTTTATTTTCTTAAAGTTAGAAATATGACTGTGTTAGACATTTTTATCAAAGCATGCTATTTCTATATGAAGCATCTAGAAAGTCACACTGATAAAGGAAGCAGAATATCAGTACTTCACTACCAAAAGTCCTACTTTTGCTGTTCTAAAACTTGCCTTGATTTCTAATTTAGACAATGCTGGCTGGACGCCTTTGCATGAAGCCTGTAACTATGGCAACACAGTGTGTGTCCAGGAAATTTTGCAACGTTGTCCAGAGGTAGATCTGCTCACTCAAGTGGACGGGGTGACTCCTTTGCATGATGCACTGTCAAACGGACATGTAGAAATTGGCAAGCTGCTACTACAGCATGGGGGTGAGTGCATTTATGCTAAACGGGTTTTGATAAATTATCCAGTTTTTTGATGAATCCCTTAAAGGTAGACAGCATTTTATGTTTAAGATCTGTAAGGAAAGATGCCTTTATTTCATATTAGTGAAAAAGGTAAAAAATCTCATAGAACATAAGCACCTTTTATTTAATAGGGGTGCATTTTCATAATCTATAAATATTTATTTATTTTTATTAATTATAAAGCCTATTAGGTTTGTATATGAGGGTGTATTTTCAATTGAATGTGTTGATTTTAAATATTAATCCTTTTACTTAAATTGTGTAATGTCTTTGTGAACCAGCCATTTCTGAAAGCTTATTAATAAAAGAATGTAAATGTTCCATTGTTATTACTTGGATTTTTCATTCTTGTTTCATTTCTTGTATGTAGCTGCTAACGCGATTAATCTTTTTTTTAATCTTTTTTTTAATGAGTCATTTCTTTACAGACTATAAAAAAAGATAACCTAGAATATCTTTTCTTCATTCATATTTTGCAGTCACTTAAGTTACAGTAGGAAGCTTTTTTTCAAATGATGTAACTGTTGTGCAGGGGTTTTGTGATGGAGATAACTTGAGCTTAATACTCATCTGCTTTTTCTAATTTTTGATTTCTGCATTTCAGATAGCACCTCCAACCCCCTCTTAAGTGAAGTTCTTCTTATATCTGAACTGAATAGTATACACTGTAGGTTAAATCTCACAGATAACTGATTTGTGTTTTACAAGAGAAACAAAGGAAAAGTGATGACTAGCTTGTAATGCAGAAATAAAAATTTGTGTTAAATTTCCTGTGACTTTTATTTGTGCTAACTTTAAAATTATTTTCTCTTATAATTAAAGCTGTTTCATTTTGCATGAAAGTAAAAAGCATGTTTTCTTTAGGTGTCTTTCACCCCCTTCCCTCCCCCCCCCCCCCCCCCCCCAATATATACCCATAAGTGAATGGTTGTATAGCTTGGTAGCTTAAGCAATTTGGTTATTTATAGTCTTCTCCTGCCCCCTAAAGGCCTTAGTGTGTCTGTTTTAGTGACACCATTTCATAATCAATATGTGTTTCAGTTCTTCCACTTTTTTTTACTATTACATGTTTACTAAACTATAATGTTCTGTCTCCTAAGTGCTTTATTTTTCTACTCAATCACGTATGTGACATTCGAAGCCAGTATTTGGCCTTGCTTCAAATGATCTAAGCGATGGTAGAGCCATTATTGTATTAAGTCCAGCTCTTTGGAAGAGAATGGGATTATACTGACCAAAGTGAATTTTTCCATGGCTCTTGGTGAAGAATAGTAAATGTATGAGTTTATTGTCATAAGAGAGGAAATCTACTTGCAGGTGAATTTACCACAGCCCTTTGACAGTCACACTTGCACTTACCTTTCCCGTAGTCATAGTCTGACTTTGGATCTGTCAGATGGTTTAACACCATCATTATAGTAACTACATTAACTCTTCATTATGAGTTACCCAGTGTTGAGAGAAGTAATTTCAAGAGTTTACTTACATCTCTAAAGCCTTTGTTTACTTTTGGCATCTTGGGTCTATAATTTTCTTGTATTTTTTTTTAAGAGGGAATCATTTGGTGCAGTTTTTTGAAATAAAACATAATGACGAGACCTACCTAATTTTGATATAGAATTCTCTTTTTTCCATGAAATCAATCACATATTCTCATTGGCTGATCTTTTATATTAAATACATTTTATATCTAGACCACTACATGTGTTTCATCAGTTTCATCATTAGGAATTTTGGCAGCTTTAATCTATTCTCTGACAACATATTCTTCTGTTGTATGTAGGATCTTCTGATCATGTCTTCTAGTACTAAAACCTTTCTATCCCTTATAAAATTTTTATGGCAGAACGCATAAATAATTATAGGACTTGACAGAGGGGGGGTACAGAGTACTCAGTGCTATGTAACCAAATACGGAGTCATTTTTCTTTTGCCCTTCCCATATTATCCTTTACTACCCAGGGGATAAACTCTTGAGTGCTTGCTAAGTAGATATAGATAGGTTTAGCTAGGGCCGAAAGATGAAATCTGATTTTGACCCAGAGAAGTTAACATTTAGTTTTTTGTGAATCAGTTTTTGTACTAAAATTTGAACATAAGCAGGAATAAGTGAAAAGTGTGATCTGTGGCTATGCAAGGTTTTGTGGTCTTTAATGCAGTCACCTATTAGCCATGGAAGGGGACAGTACTTTTTTTTCTTGGTAAAATTACGATACCTTTAAGACTCTTACACAAAATTGAAGATGAATATATTTTGTTAATATCTTCTGGGAACACTGAAATTTTTAGGTGAAGATGACAATTGATGAAGTTTTACACGCTTCTTTTAAATTTGTAGTTAAATCTATTGTTTATTGAACTAAGGCTTCTGTTTTTAGGCAAACCTAATTAGGCATTGCTGGAAAGTCTGAGTTTTTTTAATGTACCTTTATTAGGCATTCAGTTCATATAGCCAGTTAATTTTGTCAACATGAATTAGGACAAATTTGGATTGTAAACAGAGACCTGGATGCTTTTAAAAAATAGAGAAAACAACTGTTAAGCTGCCAAAATAAAAATGTTTTAACATTGTATGTTTTCTTTTTCCCAGGCCCGGTGCTTTTACAGCAGAGGAACTCTAAGGGAGAATTGCCCTTGGATTACGTGCTATCATCTCAAATCAAGGAGGAACTATTTGCCATTACAAAAATAGAAGATACAGTGGAGAACTTTCATGCACAAACAGAGAAACATTTTTACCACCAGCAACTTGAATTTGGTTCATTTTTACTTAGTAGGATGTTGCTAAATTTTTGTTCAATTTTTGATTTATCTTCGGAGTTCCTTTTAGCTTTCAAAGGGTTAACTCATCTAAATGAGCTGCTTGTGGCTTGTAAGAATTATAAGGAAGCCACCAGTGCTCACACCGACTGGTTATTGGATCTTTATGCTAGAAATATAAAGACATTGCAGACGCTCCCAAATATTCTTAAGGAACTGCCTGAGAATGTAAAAGTGTGCCCCGGAGTGCACACTGAGGCCTTATTGGTGACACTGGAAATGATGTGTCGTTCAGTCACAGAGTTTTCGTGATGATGACAAAAACAATGAGTCCACTTTCCAAACGTAGTTAGCTTGCTTTGTCATTTCTCATGGACGTCATAGCTTATTAACAAATAATAATTTTATTTATTTATTGACAGAATTTGCAGCTTTGCTGAATTTCAAAAGCACTTAATGAGCTGCTGCAAAACTCTAAATGTAAGCCCCTGACTTTTTCCATGTTGTAGAATTTGACTCAGAAGTAAAGAGTTTCATTTGGTGTACGCTGTTTCCATTAATCTTTATTATTTCTTGTTCTGAAAATATTTATTTATATTGTACATGTAAAACATTTTAATTTAAATATTTTTTCAAATCAAAATGTAACATCCTCTGTTCGAGGGATTTGAGGTTTAGAATCATGACAAGGATATTCATGCATATGTGTACCTATAAGCATGTAGCTACTTGTTTTCTTCTCTGTAGGCTGTTGAGCTAAAATTACTCAGTTTAGTTTTGTTGTAAAATAAACATTTCTAAAATTTACAATAATAATACTCTCTTGGTTTTTAAATGCAGTGAATGTGCCAAGTTTGACAGTTTAATCCCTTGATCTACCTTATTTTAGCAGTTCATGTACAGTTTATTTCTACTCCATGTAATCACTATTCTGTAAGTGAAAACATATTGCTACGAACTAAGTTTTACCAAATATCAAGATTATAAGTGGTAACTAAGTAATAGATTTGAGATTATCTAAAATCTTAATGTGTAGTATGAATTTATGTTTCAATTTGCAGTTTTTTTTCTAACAGCAGTTTATGGTAAGACTGAAAGAAAGGGTGTGGATAATAACCACTTTTGAAATTGGAGTTGCTTTACTTGTGGGAATAAGTTACACTGTGGTACAGCTGAAAAAGAAACATTAAAACTTCCATTTAGCTTTTTTTTTGTAACTAAAGTGATGATCTCACAGCAATTAATCTACTAAAGAAGCAAACTTTAGTTTTATCTCGGAAATCTTTTAATAAGATACAAATTCTGAGTGTTTTATTACTGGGTTTATAATCTAAACTGAAAACTGCTACATTTCAGCTGCTATATCAGCTCTGAATAAAAATCAAGGTTTCTTTTTCTATATTTTTAAATCAGTAATTTTTTACACATACTGTAAGAAATATTAGTTGTTTCTAGTTAGCCTTCAGATGTGAAATAAAAGCCTCATTAATATTTACTTAATCTGCCAGAGTATCAGAGAAAACATGACGCAGCAGAGACTGAGGAACATTAAAATACTCAGAAAGATCTAGTAAAATGTTTCCCAACATGATGAATAAGGACATTTTTATTCCAGAGAATAGCCACTTTACTTCAGTTGTGAAGGCATTGTGGAATAATTGCTTGGTCAACTAATATAAACTTAAATACATAGTTTTGAGATCTAACAGGCATAGTTACAAATCCCTATTTAATATCTTAATAGCTAAATTATAAGGCAAGTTCCTTTCTGAGCTTTTGTTTTCTTACCTATCAAATGGAAATAACACCAGGTATTATCTCTGTCATGATAGAATTGTTAGCCTATCACCTTATATGCCTCTTAATAAATGTTGCTTCTTTTCTAACTCTTACCTTCTCTTTTTAGCTACAATGAATCACTTAAGATAGTAATTGCTTAAATAGGTGATAATTCTAAGTTAATAAAATAATCAGTGCTATGAGTTAGGGTTTTGCACGGCTTAGAAAAAGTAGTTTTCTAAATTAAATGATCTTAAGAAATATCATTTAGTTGCAATGAGAAGTAATTTTTCATAACTGTCTATCTGCCCACTTTTGCAAGTCATGATAATGTGAAATATTAAACACTAAAATGCTATTGAGGTCTCTGCCCTTAATCAGGTATCATTGTAGTTTTGCAGTGACTCAGAAGTACAACTTGGCAAACAGATTACTATGTTCTTTGTCCTAGTTAACAATATCAATATATGTATATGAATTTGAACAAATGTATGTGAATTTAAGCCTTCAATGAGAAACTTGATTTCTAATATTCCTTATGTTTTATTTTAGAAAACAATAATTGCTTCAGATTGATCTTAGAGGTAGATGAAATAGAAATATTAATAAATAAAATTCATAGTCTTTTCGAGTCCTGGCTTTTAGTTGTAAATGTTTCAGAGTTCCAACAGCTGAAGGCAAGGCTGAGTTACGCTATTCTTTCTCATACATTGCTAGATTTAATATCGTAGTTCACTAGATTTGTTTTTAAAAAATCCTATCAAGGCCCTCATTACAAGTGTAAATAAATCCTGGAATAAGATTTCTGAGCTGTTAAGATGCGCCCTTCCCCATATGTAATCCCTACAAATATTTGGAATATAAAAGGTTTTAGAATGTTTACTGGTAGCTTCTTAGGAAGGGTCTCTTTGAAGTTAAAATTTTCTAGCTTGTTAATTTCCCTATGCAGAATAAAGTGGTCCACGTTTATACATTTTCTGTCATTTCCTTAACTCCAAGATGACCAGAAAAGCATTTATCCTTATATAAATCAAATGTGAAATTAATCAGTGTTTTTGTCTCTTGAACACCTACTATATTCCAGGTGGTGTGCTTAACAGGGCTGACTACAATAAAAGGAAAAAAGCTTACAGTCTAGGAAGGTAAACTAGATTGAAATATTGTTACTTTTATTGTCTTCTATATAGGCTGTTGAAAAGCTTTTCAGTTTGTGTGTTTCTAAAATGTGTAGTATATTAGATCTGAAAGTTTAATCCTTTGATCATTAGGATTTTAGCAATTCTGTTTTAGAGTGAGTATAATGTGGGGGGTGTGCTTTTGCAATCTTAGGGAATTAATACACATTCCAGGTAAACACAAATGCATTAATGCTAGGATACTTTATATAAACACCAGGAAATGTTTGCCATTGCTGTCTATGCTATTACAGAAAGTTAAATGAATACCTTCTCATGAAAACCCTATTGCTGGAATGTGCAATCCATATGCCTTTACACACCTTTCCAGTTAAGTTATGAACTTGATGAGAGCCTGTCACTGTTGCTCCTGAAGCAGTAAGAAAGGGTCATCTTTGAGTGACATGAGGCTCTCTTTCCCTCAGGCATTTATCACGCAGCTTCCACGCCAATCTCACCTCCTGCTGACGTGGAGCTTGCAAAATTCTGAATGATAATTGTTTTTATAACAAATGTGGATTGAGTTAGAAAGGTTGGGGGATGGCATTATTGGAATTAGGCTGTGCCTGGTGTTGTCAAAGTGTAGACATCAGTTCCATGGAAACATTGAATACTTAACTCTTTCTTGTAAATCAAATCATGTTATCAAAAAATTAACCTTTTGGGTTGAAATGAATTGTGGTGGGAGGATATTCTCTGGCAATTATTTGCTCTGATTCAGAATTAGAAATTATTAGACTAAATTAATTGGAAAAGGTTGTGGGATTGTTTCTGCTTGGTTCCAAAGCATGTATTTTCCAACTATTGCAAATTTTACTAAAAGAAGACCTTTTTCAGATGAAACAAAAGATTTTTACCATCATGGATCACTAGATTTTTTAAAAAGTTTCTCGTTTTCAGTAAGTGCTAGTCTTTGAATCATGCTTTCCAGTTCATGAAAGCCTCAAGCAACAAACGCCCATAAACATCTTTGTTTCTTGAGACCCATGAATTTATGTGAATTGTTAAGAAGGGGGGGAAGACATACTAAATTAATTGAGAATAGAGGCTTCTTAATGTTTCCCAATCACAAATCCAAATGATTAGCTTTTTATCACAGAGGAGTCTGCTGTTTGGGAGTACTTTTGTGTTATAAGCAAAATTATAATCTGATATATAGATATTTTCCAATATTTTGTATGTTTGAATTAATTACTATAGGCCTTTTTTTTTTTAAGTGTAAGTGTATA